TGTCGCATTTTGTTAAGCATTCAAAGTTTACGCTTTTTATCATTTCTTACTCACAGTTCTGCGTACCCTCCACAATGGTAGGGGCAGATGGTTTTGACAACGACTGCGATGGAAGAATTGACGAGGAGCTTTGTGACAATAATATCGGTAGGCCTCTTTTCTCCTTCTTCTCCGTCTTTTCTTCTTCTTTCTTTTTCTTATTATATGATTCATCGAGTTAATGAGTATGAAATTTACCTGGCAATTTTATTTTTTTATGTCCTGGAGACTTCTGCTTAACTACAATGTTGTTGTGACATGGTATTAAGAATTGGTTGCTCTTGGTATTCTTTTGAATGCGAATTTTTATAATAAATTAAATATTGTAATAAAAAAGGTGAATAGATGATACATGCCTTCTAATCTCCTGATATATACATTTACTCATTGATATCTTGTTATATATTTGACAATATAATTCATCCCTTAAGAATATTTTTTTCGTAGATGATGATAGTGACGGGCTGCAGGACGAAGATTGTGCAAATGAAAAGAGTACAAGTAAGTATGAGCCTTGTTTATGCAATGAAACGTTTTGTTAGTGGAGAAATGGAAATAACTAACTAATATTAATATTTATCACAAAGAACTGAGCTGTATAATAAACTGCATTAGGGACACCCCTACAAAGACATTTAATAGATTGACCTTATGAATGCCTTGAGGCTTCTACTGCTATTTTCTAAAGGGTGAAATGCATTTTGCAAAGAAAAATAAAGATAAGTTCTGCCATTTTTATCAAATATTTAATTTGTTTTGTAGTCATTACTACAACTGATGAGGCGCCTACAACAACCGCTGAGGCCGCTATAACGACTTTGGAATCGCCAACAACGAATACTAAGGTGCAAAGTACGACCACTGAGGCGCTAATTACCACCACCAAGACAGTCACTACGACTGCTAAGGCAGCAAGTACAACTACGCAGTCAGCAACTACTACGACTACTGTGTCGCCAGCTACACCTACTGAAGCAGCAACTACAACTACGCCGTCACCAACTACGACTACTGTGTCGCCAACTACGCATACTGGGGCAGACACTACAACCACGCAGTCATCAACTACGACTACTGTGTCGCCAACTACGCATACTGAAGCAGCAACTACAACTACGCAGTCACCAACTACTACGTCTACTGTGTCACCAACAACACCTGCTGAAGTAGCAACTACAACTACGCAGTCACCAAATCCTACGGCTTCTGTGTCGCCAACTACGCATACTACAACTACTCAGTCACCAACTACTACGGCTACTGTGTCGCCAACTACGCATTCTGAGGCAGCAACTACAACTACGCAGTCACCAACTNTTTGTCGCCAACTACACCTACTGAAGTTGCAACTACAACTACGCCATCACCAACTACTACGACTACTGTGTCGCCAACTATGCATAATGGGGCAGCTGCAACAACTACGCAGTCACCAACTACTACATTTACTGTGTCGGCAACTACACCTACTGCAGCTTCAACTACAACTACGCCATCACCAACTACTACGACTACTGTGTCGCCAACTACGCATGCCGGGGCAGCCCCTGCAAATACGCAGTCACCAATGTATACGACTATTGTGTCGTCAACTACTGGTAAACCTACTGAGGCAGCAACTAACACAACGCAGTCGCCAACTACTGTGTCGCCAACTAAGTCCCATGAGGCAGCCACTACAACTACGCAGTCACCAAATACTAGTACAACCACTGAAGCGAATGCTTTGACTATGAAGAGGCGAGGTACAACTACTGATGCAGTAGTTCCGACTACTGAAGCTGCAACTATAATTACAGAGGCATCTGCTACGACTTTCGAAACACAAATCACGACTACTGGGGCAGCCCCGACGAATACCGATGCGCCTGCAATGGCTGCCATACATACAACAACTTCAGAGACTGTTGCAATACCCACCTCAACAGTTGAACATCTCACGACAACCAACGCTGGACTGTCATCCACCGGTGGAAGCTTTGAAACGTCAACTACATCACAATCTCTCGGCCAAGGGAACCTGCAGCTTCGTCTCATGAATGACGATGGCACTCTTACTACAGAGGGTATATCTGTCATCACGGTAGGATCGGCCGCGGGTGTAGCGCTCGCAGTCGGGGGAGGCTGCTTCTGTTTTTTCATGGCAGGCAAATGGCGAAAACGCCGAGTAGCAGAAGAAGAAGAGGAAGAGACGGAAGACCATGGCCTTATTGACGATGACGGAGGATCTGTGACGCCGCGTAGTGAGTCTTCGCAGAGCGCGTGTTCAGATCATTCAGTGGTTGAAAGCGAAACTCCGCGTAGAACGCTGCATCTTTTCAGGCACCCTAAACACAAAGCCGTTGCTGCAGCGGGTTCTGTGGATTTGAGGAGGCGATCTTCTGTTACCGACGTTGATGGACATGGACAAAAAACAGGAAAAACTATCTCTCTCTTCAGAAAAGCGAAAGGGAGCTTCCTGTCTGGTAGTGATGTCTCCTTGAATACCGTTTCCGTAACCCCAAGTGCGTTGCGTGGCGCAGTGTCCCCAAGTCAGATTTCTCTGAGGACCAGCTCTTCTATGAGTAACGTGGAAGAACCAGAGAAATACTATGATGACCAGATTGGCTGGTAAAATGGTTTGCAAACAGATAATTTGGCCATAGATGTGTAAGGGGATGAAAAGACAAACAACGAGGATTACTAGAGAGTCGAAGGTTTATCTATATTAAAAATATATATCGATTACTTACCAGCAATATAACGTTTGTTGTTTTATCATATTATAATTTTGGAGATGCAAAAACAATATATATTGTAGCTATTGAAGAAAAAAGCACTATCTAAATGCTAACGAATAATTAATTTCACAGAAAGTTTCAGTGATTGATCATTACATTTTTCTATCATTCTTCGAAAAACTTCTGACGCCTTTATTTTGTCAATCCATAATTTAAAGGGATTAAGCAACCATCGCAACGCTTTATTAATATTTCATTTTGAAAGTTTGCTTTTGACTATATTATTTTATATTATTCTATGTCATATTTAATCATGCTTTTATGCGTTTAATTTGACACAATGTTTAGAATATTTCATATATATATTTAATGTCATAGATGGTTTTGAGAATAAAGCTTTAGTTTGTGACAAATGCTTTTTGTTTATTTGTTTGCTTGCTTGTTTGTTTTCACCCGAGTTTGTGTTTTAATTTTTGAGTCACTATCGTATTGCATACTGACTGTTGAATTTTACTCTCCCGAAGAAGTATTTATAGATTATAAATAATATATTTTTTACGAGTTTTGAAAAGGGTGTTTCTTGGTGATAAGGAAAAATTGTTAAATTGGTCGTCAAAATACCCAAAATGAGGTTTTGCGTGCATACAATTATTCAATAGTGCATCTACCCTTTTTATTATTAAAAACAAAAAATAAAATATCGGCGTTTATATTTCTCATTTCTGAGCATAAGCAAAGGCACTTTGCATCTAGGATCGTTAATGGTAAATTTAACATCTTTCTACATGTATGTTGAGGTGAAACAGCTATCGGATGGGGCGTCATTCCATCCCTGAAGAATCTATCACAAAAAAAAATTGGTATCGTGCCGTTTTTTTTTTTTTTTTTTTTTTTTTTTTTTAAAATTGAGATTTCAGAATGACAATAAATGACAATAATAATGATAGCGATCACAATGATAAAGATTGAAATGGTTTCATTACCAGCATGAACACTACTGGCACTGATGAGGAACTCTCAGTATTCATAGATTTGTTAACTTTTCCTGCGTGTAAAGTACATAAAGTATGCTCGTGCATATTTTTGCATCTTTTAGAGGAACCTTTTGTCGTAGTCTTTTTGAGGTAATATTGATATGATTCAACTCCATGTATTATTGTTTATTTTGTTTGTTCGGTTTTTAATGTAAATGTCGGCTGGGCCGGTCAAATTGACATCAAGTTACGTTTTATTTTCAGTTACCCCCTGGTGCCCCGGTACAATGGAGCTTGTGAACTCTCATTCAGGGAGGTCACGCGACCCTACAAACATTTCACTGATTCAAAGTGGCACTGTATTAGTCGGGTTAGTTGAACAGGATGAGTTTTCCTGCCAGCTAATAAATATTAGTTTGTTTGTCAGAATATAACATCAATTTGCGATGCACAAAAATGTGTGCTTAAAAAACAAAAATCCTCTAAAATATTTAGAAATACAGCAGCAATATCCGATGCACTTAGCTCTCAAAGTAAATTGCCTGATTAACCACTGACAAATACACTAACAAATCCATGGCATGACTGGTGCATATGTCCTGAGTAAGTGTTACCCTTGCTGCGATCCCCAGCCAAACCAAAGAAAAACGTGAATACACATTTTGCAAACGCAATGCATTTTGCAACCACTCTGTTTTTTCTGAGACACTGAAACGGTTTAAGGTACTATAGTGATACATGTGAGATAGGGATGGGGTTGCCTTGAAACCGTACTCCGAATCTGGCGTCGCTGAGTGAATTTAGACATCGGGGCTTGACAAATTTATTGTCATCGGAGATTGACAAATTTATTGTCAGGGACGTGCATGGACCGTCTTTCAGTGCGAATGAGGGCGGTCTTTGGATGGATGATTCTATTTTTTCACTTGCAATTTCCGCTATATCCTTCAGACGAACATGTCCTTGCACATTCCTTACTTTGAAAGTAAAGGTCTAGCAATCCCAAATCTTTAAATTTAGTCACTTAAATGAAGAGGAAGATTTAGGAAGAGAAACCAGTGAGTAAAATTAGTAAGTAAATAAAGTAAAGTAATAAGTAAATAAATAAATAAATAATAATAATGGACTTTTTTCTTATGCCTATCATTCCACTTCTATTCCAAAAAGGGTCTATCTTATTCTAATTGTAAATCTCAATTCTCACAAAATTCTTTTAAACTTTTGTTTTTTTATTCTTTTCTTTGATACATATTTCAATATTGCCAATTTTCAACGAATTATACTACCTAAGGTGCAACTTTGACATGGTTGTTTAATGTCTGGGCATCTTTAAATATTAGTAAACTTAAGCAGGACTTGAAATACAATTCATCTTAAAAGCTCTATACGAAAATTGCTATCCATTGAAGCATCACATATAGGAGGGGGGCAATGACAAACAAAAGAACAAAAAAACTCAGCAATGCTAGATATAAATACCAAAACAATTATTATTTACAATACACAAAAGGCATACAGTTTCACATTTTATAATTTCCATTAAATCATTTTCTATTTTTAAAGAAATGACATTAAATCTGCATCCTCAGATTAAGAACCCTTGACTCCTCATACTTGTGAAATTAAATGTTGAAACTGGTATGATTAAATGGCATTTTATAACCATTTGTATTGATAAGGACTCCAATCTTAAAGGACTTAAATGCCACTTATGTTCCAAATATTCATAACCACCATATTTAATGGTGTAGAATGTCATTTAAAAACTTGGAGATTTAAATCAAAGTGTTCGGGACTGAAGCATCACTTTAGTGGTATCAAATGTTATTTAATACCCAGGCATTTGAGACAAAATCATTCAATATTAACACAATATTCTATTGTGTATAAATGTGAATGTTCAAATCCATATTCAGGTGGTATAAATGCCATTTAAGACCCCCTGAATATGGCAGTAACATATCCGGGTGTATAACTGTCATTTAGGGCCCATTTCCCAACATTAAGACTCCATCATAACCCTTTGTCTATGTGACCCATTGGGTGTAATTGGTGGTATTGGGGGTGAGCTCCCAAGCGGCCTTAGAATTGGGGACTGTCCCTCCAGTAGTTCTGTCACAGTCATAACTGGCACTTGCTTGTGGAGGTTAACTGGACGGAGCTGCTGCTCAGTAATAACATCTGCCTGGCGAGGTTGCTGAAATATTACAACAAAGTTGTGTTCAAATATTTTTCTCTTTGAAAAAAAAAAGGTTGATTTGTAAGAAATCCTACACATTGTAACCGAAAATGCAATTTCCTCATTTAGATTTTTTAAAAGTCCTTATTACTATTTCTATCAAAGAAGAGCAAAATGACAATTGATTTAAACATCACTGTAGTTATTTGAACAGAATATAAGAACAGCAAAAAAAAAAAAAAAAAAAATTACAAGTTTGTCAAGAAAAGTTCTAGGTATAAAATGTGTGCTAGGCTATAACATAGGTTCCTGAGAATTTTTAGCAATATTCTCATAAACATCAAGTTATATTCTATTTAAAAACCATTGAAAAAATAACAATCTAAAAACTCAAAAAAGGTTATTTTCTCAACTGTTTTGGACAGAGTGTATTTTGATGATTAAGAGGAAACTATTGAAATTTCTAGAAAAATAAAAATTCTGCTACATAAAGGTCTAACGCCCAATTCACGCCTTTAAGTACTGTACCTGTCTTGGTCCTTTCTTGACCCTGTGCCCTTCCCTGACCACCACCCCTGGAGACACATCCATGGACTCTATCAGAGGGGGTGGCAGGGGACCCACTGTCTCCTTCCTAACAGCTTGCTGAGTCATGGACATGCCAGCAGTGGACAGCAAGTTAACTGCAAAGATATCAGAAGGAATGTGATTCCAAATTTTTAGGGTGACAAGGTTAACTGTTGCCAAAAGGCTATGTTTATTTTAGTGTTTAATCTAATCATGCATCAGTGACTGTGTTTAATGTCACCATGCATTAAAATCAAATGAAAGTTGTTTTTTTTTCACAGGGGGAGGGGGTGAATATATTAAAATGAAATAAACAGTTAAAATTAGCAACAAAATAAGGTACATCATAGCTGGTTTGTATCATGTACAATGAAGATCAGTATATTTTGAAATTTAACATCAACATCAACAGCACCTGGACCTTTACCTGTTTTTGCCGTGGAAACAATATCTGTTGTGGGCAGCCTATCTGTTACAGTAGTGGATGGTTTTGCTGTCTTCTTACTTTTGGTCTTGGCGGTCAGGTAACGTCCAGTTCTCATGGCCTCCAGTCTGGCCTGAGCTGCCTCTACAGCTGGGTCTATTACATGGTATTTCACCTTCACCCTGATATAATACATGTAAATATACATTAACATTGGTTGATTCATTGCAAACCTCACATCACACAAGAGCACATGCATTATGTAAAAAGTTTTGCCCTAACATTAAATTGTGTGTTAATAAACATTCAAGAAATGTGGTGGGCTGCTCTATGGATGCAACAAATGACTGGATTTAACAATGTGTTTGGTGTTCCAGTGTTGGTTGTGACAGCACATCTTGTGTGCCAATCTTCACTACCACTGTATACCAAGTGTTATAGGCTTAGGTGTACCCGTAGGACTATAGTATTTATTACCTATGAGTTGGCAACTTGTCAGGGTTGATCTTCATAACAGCCACTACATTCCCCATCTCATCATAAGTGACATCTTTGTGACCTGGAGGACGACCAGACTGCATCTGAAACATAAAATATTTTATCCCCATAAATGTATTATCTTTGTGTAAAACATTATTTTACATTTAACATTTAGCCAGGGACCTGCTCAAAAGATATGACTTAACTACTTAAAGAGACACCTGTTTAAATTCCACTACTTAGGAATAAGTGTACCTTTAATATAGAATGACAAGACAGAGGCATCTGTAGCAACTTGTCATATTTCTCTTTTTGTTCATCAATAATGGACTGTGATTGTTTGCGCCATTCCTCTTCCAACATTTTCATCTCTGTATCTTCCAAACTCTCTGTCATCTTGCTCACACCCGCAGATTTCAAGCGGCCAGTGTATGGTTTGAACTTTATCTTTCTCTTTGATTTTGTAGATTCTTTGCTCTCAGGCTAAAAAGACAGTGACCTTGTAGTTAGAAAACATTTATAAAAATACAAGGAAAATATGAAAATAAATAAATACATAATTTTAAAATAAAAAGAAAAAATAAAAGACAATAATGAAAAAACATTACAGCATACTTTGATGGATTCAGCCTCCACAAAAATTGCGCAAGATAAGGGTTAAAGTTCAGAGACCACGTACTACATGTTACACCAGCACAGACAGCCAAATAATGACAGCTAGTCAGTGATTGTCACTTGTGTTATATCTTACACACAAGCATTCTTGACTGTGTCTTAACAAAAATGACACAAACCTTCTTATCATCAATTGCTTTATCTGCTGTATCTTCTAAGGGAGGGTGTGGTATAAAGTTGTTATTCTCTTCTATTTTGTCTACTGGTTCCTCTATAGGTGCTGTCTCTGCTGGCTCTTCTGTGGATACTTCTGCCTCCTCAGGCTCTCTGCAATAAAACATAGGAATCAGAGTAAAAAATGCTTAATGAGGTGTATCAATTGTACGTGCAGTTTATCACCTGTGACTTCAGCTTGTTCAAAAAAGAAAAAAGTGTGAATGTTGTACATACTCAGATACATTATATTTCAAAATGTACATGAACAAAACAATATTCTTACTCTACTTCTACTGGTGTTGGCTCCCTGCTGACTTCAACCTTGTGCTTGGGCACTGAACCCTGGGCCCAGCAGTCTGACACTGCTGGTTGGGGCTCTGGAGAGAGGAAAACAGTCCTCGTTTATATCCAATAATATACAAAGGCACACAAATTAAATGGAACATCACGGAAATGTTACTTGTAGATGACATATTCAATTCTTTCAAAATTGTATCAAAAATAAAAAAATAATAATTTTGAACAGAACAGGGAGATGTTACCTTCATCTTCAAGCCAACTTGGATCAGACTCTGCTTCAGGTTCTCCCTCATCACGAGACAAGAACTGCCACTGGAAAGAATACATTCTAATGTAAATCACCATGTAAAACGTTAAAGAAATCATATTTTTGTATTCATCTTATATATGGTATTGTTACTAATTTACATTGTATTTTATGATACCAATATTTTACTTATTAGCAATATTCTTACTCAAATGCTTAAGATATATTTAATGACATTGCGCACAAGCACAATACAAGATTGAAAATTCTTTAAAATTACAATGCTTCTGCACAAGTCTAAGTGAAACAAATTCACATAAAGCTAATGTACTGCAAATTCACTTATTTTCAAATGAATGTTAGACTTGAGTAAATCTTCAACTAAAAACCTGCTTAAGTAGTGTTAAGGCATGGCCATTTTATCAGAACTGACAGTTTGTAAGAGAGAAAACAGCATGCATGTACATGTACCTCAATTATTTGAAGAATTGCCTCCTTGGCCTGGCTAATTGTGTATGGAAGTAGTTGTCGCTGAATGTACTTATCATGAATGATTTGCATTGTTTTAGAGCACAGCTCCTCAACAATGTCATCCAAGAAATCATCTCCATCATCTCTTTCAAGCATAAAATTCCTGAAATATGATATTTTAAACATTATATTAAAATGATTCAAATGCTGATGTCAAATGATGAGAAAACCAGAGGAGACAATAACCTAAATTACAAACAAAAATGAAAAGGTATCAAACCACTCAGCCAAATATACACGTACGCTCCATTAACTCTTCTTATGTACCAGGTATTGGAACAAAAACTGTGTAATGTGGTTTAGTAAAAGAGAAGTATTTGAGCATTTTCTAGGGGTGAGTGGGTAGAGGTGCATCGGTTTCTAGATACATTCTTTTAGCATTGCATTGCAAAATTTAGAACAGAGTGATATAACAATCAAAGCAACATAATACGATCCCATTTCCAACAAGTTTAAACTTATGCCCACTAACAAAAATAAGGATGCCTTAGATTCCGTACAAAAATGATAATGAGAAATTTATTGAGTACCAGTTACTTACAACTAAAGATATACACATACTAAGAACAAGCTTTGTTGGGTGCAAGTCATTACCTAGTACATGAAAATTGTGTTTATTTTAATGTAATATAAATCACCACAGCACTGGTGTGTTTGATTAAAATATAACTACTAAGTACTCGTGCAAATTACATCTACCGTGCGATTAAAAATAAGTGCCGACTGGGACGGGGGATATCTATAGAGCTTTAACTTAACCTGCGTTAGTATAATGCTAGCAAGAATAATGAATTGTATTGTGCGATTTTATTCTGAGATTTCCAGCTGTGTCTACCAGCTACTTACCAATCAGTATCGTTAAATTTCCCTGGCACTATTTCATGAGAAATAGCAGGTGTGGGAGCCGACCCCTGCGTTTTTCCTCCTTTCTCTGCTCGAGATTTGCTTACTGCTGCTCTCGACATGGTGAATTATTTGATTACCTGACAGCCAAAAAACAAGCCTGATATTTGCATCACTACATCTTTTGTCTCACCATGTAGTCGCCGTAAATACGGCAAATTTTCTATATCAAATAAACAAAAAGTTTTTAAAAATGCGAGAAAATTTCCAACATTACAACCAAGATGGCGGGTGTGTATGTTGTTATTGACAACCAGCCTCATTTTGGAGAAGATTTCCTTACACAGGCATAAAGCATATATATTAAAATTTTTTGTTGAATATAACGCTTGAAAATTTTGTAAATGATTTCTTTAAAAAGAAATATAAGTTTAAGTTAAGCTCATTATATTTTACATTTGTACTAATAAAACTAATTTATTAAGAAAGCCAATCTTTCCAATGCCCAGTGACCTAGTTTGAACAACCGTCAGTCACGTGACTATTTCACCATATTGTAAATAAGATTATCTCGACATGTATGAATGAATCTAATTTTAAAAGGTTGTAGCATGTTTTCTGAATGTTTTAAGCGTCACAGTGACAGGTAAGATCTTTTTGTCTGAACTCTTTATTGGTAAACATATTGTTTTCTTGAAATACTTACTGTTGTCTTTAAAATCAATGATTTAAAATAACAGCATCGTACATGTA